GGCAATAAAAATTGAATATTTTTTTGGGTTTTACGGATTGAAGCACAAAGTTTATGCCACATGTTAAGGGGGAGTTTTAACATGAAAAATTCCGAATAGAGCACGTTCTTTTTCCTTTGGTGTTTTATAATCAAATTTGGATTATAAAAAGGGGGAGAAGTTTTATATGGAAATTCGAACTTGAATTTTTCATATTACGCGTATTTGAAGATCGAAGTGATCTTGGAGTTTTGAAGCTACGAGATGATGCAATTGGATGTTCGGAAGTGATGTGTTCGAAATGGGTTTGGATTTATTGAAGATTTTTGGGGTGTGTTTTTATGCGCAACTTTTGGGTGATTATTTGGAATTAATCATTCATTGCTGCTCGGATTGTATGGTCTCACATCCTAGAGCCCAAATTGAAGAGTCATGGAAGAATTGAAGATTGAAGTTCGTTTTGACATGTGTCACCTTTGAGGCTCGAACCGCGTAGTGCTTGATTTTGGAAGATTTGAAGTGGGTCATTCACTCCTAACTTTGAGGGGGAGAATGTTGGAGTGCAAAGTTATTCATTCATGACTTTGTAAATGTTTGACTTTTGTAAAACCCACTTGCATGTGGTTCTTTAGCCGTTAGACCCATGTGTTAGTTAGAGTGAGAGAGAGACATGTAAACACCTCTATAAATAGTGGGTTTGTCCACTTGTAGAGGTGTACTTGAGAGATGTAAAAGTGAGTGTGTAAGTGTGTGTTAATTATGTAGTCTAGATCTAGATCCTTTTTGTGTAACACCATATACATTCAATATATCTCTTAAACACCCAAATCACCATGTTCAATCGTGCAAGCTTTAATTCCGCATGTCAAACCATGTTCTTATGTCACTACAATTGGTATCAGAACAGATAATAAACAATATGACTTCACAGTAGCTGACTTTCCATTGATGAACTGCAATGATTTAATTCAAGTAGCACTGATCCTGAAGCATATGGAAGAAAACAATCTTAAAGGCTCTGATACAGATGTATTCAAGGTTGGCTTCGCACATGTGAATACATTCATCGATAACTATTTCGATTGTTTAGCTCTTACAGATGAAGAATTAGCAAATGTGCTAGGAAGGGAAGTAAAAGTTCCATGGGAGGAGACTTTGACTCAATCTGCTTTATCAAAGTATGTTGTTGGAGAAATATGCCTGAAACCATTTGGCATGGTGTTTTCCGGAAGGGATACAAAAGGAAATCCGAAGAAGTTTTTGTTCAAAGTCTCAGAGATTGAAAGATATAATTCTTCGCAATATACTCACTTCATAGTACAATGGAATAATTGCAAGAAGAATAACGAAGGAGACAAGAAAGATATGAAGAAGGTGATCTCCTGGTATGGAGAAGTGCGAAGGATAATTCTCTCTGCAATTCAAAAGCTTTTGAGTTGAATTGCATCGACTGTTTACAAAGAGGGAGAAGTTTTATATGGAAATTCGAACTTGAATTTTTCATATTACGCGTATTTGAAGACCGAAGTGATCTTGGAGTTTTGAAGCTACGAGATAATGCAATTGGATGTTCGGAAGTGATGTTTTCGAAATGGGTTTGGATTTATTGAAGATTTTTGGGGTGTGTTTTTATGCGCAACTTTTGGGTGATTATTTGGAATTAATCATTCGTTGCTGCTCGGATTGTATGGTCTCACATCCTAGAGCCCAAATTGAAGAGTCATGGAAGAATTGAAGATTGAAATTCGCTTTGACATGTGTCACCTTTGAGGCTCAAACCACGTAGTGCTTGATTTTGGAAGATTTGAAGTGGGTCATTCATTCCTAACTTTGAGGGGGAGAATGTTGGGGTGCAAAGTTATTTATTCATGACTTTGTAAATGTTTGACTTTTGTAAAACCCACTTGCATGTGGTGCTTTAGCATTTAGACCCATTTGTTAGTTAGAGTGAGAGAGAGACATGTAAACACCTCTATAAATAGTGGGTTTGTCCACTTGTAGAGGTGTGCTTGAGAGATGTAAAAGTGAGTGTGTAAGTGTGTGTTAATTATGTAGTATAGATCTAGATCCTTTTTGTGTAACACCATATACATTCAATATATCTCTTAAACACCCAAATCACCATGTTCAATTGTGCAAGCTTTAATTCCGCATGTCAAACCATGTTCTTATGTCACTACATTTTCGTGTTTTTCATGTGAACAGGCAGTGCATTGAAGAATCCATTCATGTAAAGTTTGATGAAGAATCATGCATTGATGAAAAAGTAGCTCATTCCTCCTCTATCTTTCAAGAGCTTCTCTCTTGCCCATATGATGAAGTTTCTCATACTAAAGAAGAAGCTATTATTCCTGATCCTATCGTTCCAGATCCAAATTTTGTAAATCAAGATATTGCGGTCAGCTCGACAACTCATTTATCCGATGCTGATGAAACCCTTGAGACTGAAGATTCTCCTGCACCTGATGTTCCTTTCAGCAATAACACTTCAGTGTCAAATCCATTGGAATCAGCTTCTGGACATCGAGATCACCCTATTGATCAAATTACTTGGAATCTTCATGATGGTGTCCGAACCAGATCTCATGTATCTAATAATTTTTGCATGTATGTTAATTTCGTTTCAATGATTTTACCTGATAAGATACACTCAGCTCTTCAAGACGCTGACTGGATTAAATCCATGCAAGACGAGCTGAACGAGTTCGAAAGGCACAAGGTTTGGACTCTTGTTCCCAGACCATCAGGAAGGACCATCACCGGAACACGCTGGGTCTATTGAAACAAGGTTGATAAAGATGGTATTATTACTCGCAACAAAGCAAGACTTGTTGCTCAGGGGTTCACTCAAATTGAATCCATCGACTACGGGGAGACTTTTGCTCCAGTTGCCCGCATTGAAGCAATCAGACTGTTTCTCGCATATGCCTCATACAACCCCCAGGCTTTGAAGACAAAGAGCACCCTGACTATGTGTACAGACTAGATAAAGTTGTATATGGACTGAAGCCAGGTCCTAGGGCCTGGTGTGAGACACTGACATCGTATCTTCTTGAAAATGGCTACAGCAGAGGAGCAATTGACAATACTCTCTTCATCAAAAAGAAAGGATCATAAATGATTCTTGTTCAAATCTATGTCGATGATATCATCTTTGGATCTCCAAATGAGAAACTGAGCAATGAATTCGCTGAGATCATGTCTCAAAGGTTCGAAATGAGCATGATGGGGAAGATGAATTTATTCTTAGGTCTTGAGGTTCAGCAACAAAAATCAGGTATCTCAATTTGTCAAAGTAAATATATTGCTGACATGCTAGTTAAGTACTCTCTCAGAGACTACAAACCGACTTCTACTCCGGTGTCCAAGACTGACAAGCTACACGCTGATCCCACTGGCACTGATGTTAATCACTCTCTTTATCGAGGAATGATTGGATCTCTTCTCTACCTCACTGCAAGTCGCCCTGATATCATGTTTGGAACCATTCTCTATGCTAGATTCCAAGCTAATCCCAAGGAGTCTCATCTCATTGCAGTCAAACGCATCTTTCAATATATAAAGGCCACTCAGAACTTGGCATTGTGGTACCCTCGTGACTCAGCGCTTGAACTCTTTGGATACATTGATTTCGACTATGCAGGATGCAACTTAGACAAGAAGAGCATGTCAGGTGGATGTCATTTCCTTGGAAATCGACTAATCAGTTGGTCTAGCAAGAAACAAACCTCAATAGCTATCTCCACTGCAGAAGCTGAGTATGTTGCAGCTGGGAGATGTGCTCAAATCTTATGGATTCAAAATCAACTTTTAGACTATGGGCTAAAATTCACAAAGACTCCTATATACTGTGATAACACCAGTGCCATTCACATCACACAGAATCCTTTTCAGCAAACAAAGACAAAGCATATCGAGATCAGACATCATTTCATAAGAGATAATGTCAAGAAGGGCAAGGTTGTTCTAAAACATGTCAAGACTTCCAATCAACTAGCTGATATTATCACCAAGGCCCTGGATACTCAAACTAATGCTCACATTATTGGCGAACTTGGAATGATCACTCTGGATTGAAAATGTTTTACTAATGCTTGCTATTGTCTTATAAACAAATGTTTTTTTGCTGATGATGATGTGTTGATGATGTTTAGCATGTTGAGTACATTGTATGATTTCTTATCTCTATCTCTTCTACAAATCTTCTAAACTAAAGTTGAATGATTCACTATATTAAACCATACAATGATAACAACTTGAAACTCTTTGCCAATGGTTAGACAAAACACCAAGTTCTATTACACAAAACCATCCCCTCTTACCAATCTTACACGGATTCTGTGATTCGGTGTGATAAAACACATACTGATGAGAATCTAAGAGTATTTGCCGATGGTTAGACAAAACACCAAGCTCTATCACACGCAACTATCCCCTCTTACCAATCTTACGCTGATTCCGTGATTCAGCGTGACAAAACACATGCTGGTGAGAATCTAACAGTATTTGCCGATGGTTAGACCAAAACACCAAGGTCTATCACACGCAACAATCCTCTCTTCACCTTCTTCTCACTCAGTGTCTAATGATTCAGTAAGAAATACCACTCACTGATAAAGACTCGACACTCTGTGCCGATGGTTAGATAATTAAACCAATATCTATCACACGCACCAATCACCTTGCTAACCCTAAACAAAGCAAGTTGTACCTTGAATTGACGACAAACTATCTTTCAGCATGTAACTTTTCATGACAATGATCTCAGCACTTCCGCAGACATTGATTGTAGTTACCTCTTCAGTACAACGACTCTTTTTACCCAACGACTATTTTTTTTTTGATTTGACAGTCTATCAAGATACGCAGTTATTTTCGATAAAGATAATCATTACCTTTTTTTAACCGTTTAATCCCATATTTAAACCTTTGCACCTCTCTCACAACCCTTCCTCTCATCATTCAAACTTCTCTCTCTCTCAAAAAAAAAAAAAAAACCCCTAGAATCCTAACTCTCTTCAATGGCGGCATCATTGTTCACTTTCTCCTCCACTTCAATAAGAGTCATCCCAGCTCCAAACTCTCCTCCTCTTCCCATATACATCAAAGCCACAAATGTTGTTTTCAACCTTGATATACCAGATGTTCATCGCGGTCTCGAACTTGATGATTTTGTCAATTTCTTAGTCTTCTGCCGACTTCGATACGCTATCAGTGAGGTTCCATCAGAGTTCTTTCCCGAACAAATATGTGAGTTCTACTACACCAGAACGGTTAATGATGAAAAAACGTCATCTCCGGGAGTATTGGGCGTGCCCGACGCTCAGTTTTTATCACCGCTGATCTCCTCAGTGTTGCGCTCAGGTTACCAATTTTTGAACCATTCTCTGAGCTTCCAACTATTGAACGCTGTCGACGCCTCTTTGATCAACTGGGCTATGATCACTCGAAGGCTGGTGCTCGATCAGCTCTCATTCTGCATCAATGTATCACTCCAGGATGGAAGTTCTTCACCGGGGCACTGTGCAAATGTGTGGGTCACAAATCTCGCAGTGGTGATCAACTGAGTACTTATGAGCAACAAGTTGTCTGTTCCCTTCTTCTCAACAAATGTCTTGATTATGGGGCTTTCTTCTTTGATCAGCTTGTCCAACTTCTTAGTACCAATGTACGCACTGATCATGTCCCCTTTCTATGCTGGATTGTTCTTGTCCTAAATAAATTTTTCGCTGAAGCCTACTACTCCCACTCTGGAAACCCCATCCAATGCCCACGCATGTCAGTACGAATGTATCAGGATGATCCAATGGCAAATGACATCGGCATCTCTGATCGAATGAGAGAATGGATCGCAAATCCATATGCTGTTCCTTCACTAACCGCTGAGTGATGTGAGTGATGTGCTAGTGGTGCAAGAGTATATGGATATACTCCTAGAGTATCTACTTGGGTCTACCACCAGAGAGACATGTAGAGTTCAGGATCGACTTGGTCCCTAGTGCGGCTCCAATAGCCAAGGCACCGTATCGGTTGGCTCTTCCCGAGATGCAGGGGCTGTCTACATAGTTGTAGGAGCTGTTAGATAAGGGATTCATTAGACTAAGCAGTTCGCCCTACGGAGCCCGGATTCTATTTGTGAAGAAGAAGGACAGGTCGCATCGGATGTGTATAGACTACCGGGATCTGAACAAGGTAATGGTGAAGAACCGTTACCCAATCCCGAGGATTGATGATCATTTCGACCAGCTTCAGGGGGCATCTTCGTTTTCCAAGATAGATTTGCGGTCAGGCTACCATCAGATGAGAGTCAGAGACGAGGATGTATAGAAGATTTCTTTTTGGACTCGCTATGGCCACTATGAGTTTGTGGTGATGCCATTCAGGCTCACCAATGCTTCTACCACGTTCGTAAACCTCATGAACCGTGTATGCAGACTGATGCTAGATCGGTATGTGATAGATTTCATCAATGACATCTTGGTTTACTCCAAGATGCAGGAGTGGCACAAGGAGCACTTATGGGAGGCTTTGGATACCCTGAGGAGGGAGAGCTTGTACGCTAAGTTCTCAAAGAGTGAGTTCTTATGGTGCGAGGTACAATTTCTTGGGCACCTTGTCAACCAGAACGGTATTCTGGTCGACCTGGCCAAAGTGGAGGCCGTGATGAGATGGGAGGTTCCAAAGTCTCCATCTGAGATTTGGAGTTTCCTTAGATTGGTAGGCTATTATCGGAGATTCATTCAGGACTTCTCCAAGATACCCGTACCCTCGATCGGTTGACGAAGAAGGTCGTGGTCTTTCGCTGGGGGCCTGAGCAGCAGGCAGCATTCGAGACATTGAGGCAGCGACAATGTGAGGCGCCAATCCTTGCCCTACCAGAGGGTGTGAAGGATTTTGTGGTATACTGCGATGCGTCCATTTCAGGGTTGGGTGAGATGTTGATGTAGAGGGGGCATGTTATCGTCTATGCTTCGAGGCAACTGAAGCCTCACGAGGTGAATTACCCGATGCATGATCTTGAGTTAGGGGCGGTTTTCTTCGCCCTTAAGATTTAGCGACACTACCTATATTGATTCTGATGTACCATTTACAAGGACCACAAGAATTTTAGGTACCTCATGGATCAGCCAAATCTGAACATGAGGCAGCGTCGGTGGCTAGATGTGGTGAAGGATTACGATTGTGAGATCCTCTACCACCTAGGGAAGGCCAACATTATAGTCGATGTGATTAGTCGCAAGGCATCCCTGATCAGAGACGTATGCTTGAGGATGACTGTAGTGACTCCATTGTTGGAGCACATACGGGAGGCGCAGTTTGAGGGTTTGAAGGAGGAGCGCTGGAAATGTGAGCGGATCATAGGTTGGGTGGCCTCATTTGATTATGAAAGTCGTGGGTTGCTGATCCTGCATGGGAGTGTCTAGGTTCCGTACTGGGGTGTAGAGATATTCGTCCTGATGTATAGAGATCTTCGTCCTGATTACTGGTGGCCCTGCATGAAGTGGGATGTAGCCTGGTATGTTGAGAGGTGTCTGACCTATAGGAAGTTCAAGGTCGAGAACCTGAGGCCTCATGGCAAGATGCAGCCATTGGACATCCCCATGTGGAAACGGGAAGATATTACCATGGATTTCATCACCAAGCTTCCCAGGACCGCGTAGGGAGTAGATTCTATATGGGTCATTATGGATCGGTTGACCAAGAGTGTCCCTTTCATACCGATCCAGGAGAGAATTTCGGCCGACAAGTTGGCCGACATCTATATTCAAGAGGTTGTAGCCCGACACGGAGTGCAAGTCTCCGTGATTTCTGACAGAGATGTGCGGTTCACTTCCACGTTGTGGAAGAAATTTCATGACGAGTTGGGTACTCTTCTGCACTTTGGCACCGCTTTCCACCCGCAGACAGATGGTCAAAGCGAGCGGACCATCCAACCATTAGAGGATATGCTGCGGGAATGCGTATTAGACTTTGGTGGTAGCTTGGATACCTACCTTCTAGTGGCATAGTTTTCCTACAATAATAGTTACCACGCGAGTATTGATCGTCCTCCCTTCGAGATGTTATACAGGAAGAAGTGCATGACCCTGATATGTTGGGGTAAGGTTGGGCAGAGGGTCATGAAGAGTACTGAAGTGGTACTCAAGACGACGGAGAGGATCCAGTAGGTCCAGAGCGGGCTTTAGACTACTCAGAGTCGGCAGAAAAGTTATGCCGACAAGCCGCAAAAGTGTCTGGTAGACAATTCAACAGTGGTACCTCTAGAGGATATTCATGTGAATGACAGCATGTACTACATCGAGTGGCTAGTAGCTATCCTCGACAGAAAGTCAAAGAACCTGAGGAACAAGAGAGTTGAGTTGGTGAAGGTGCAATGGCAGCACCGCAAGAGCTCAGAATGGACTTGGCAGCCAGAGGACGAGATGAGAGAGCACTACCGCGAGCTTTTCCCAGACATAGTGGCAGACTTCGAGGACAAAGTCGAGAATACGTAGGGGAGATTTGTAGCGCCCTGTTCCTGGTACATAATTTAAATATAATTTTTTACACATGTGTTCTGGGATTTGGCGAGTTGGAGCCCCCAACACGTCGAGTAGAGGATAAAAATTTAGATGCGGGACGAAGAGGCTACTTGACAAGTCGGATGCCCTGACACAACGAGTAGGCTTGTTTGGATGAAACCCTAATTTAAGGGTTTGCACCCTATTTAAACGCCTAGTTGTGGCCTCCCTCATCGCCTCCCTGTGTCAAAAAATCCCTAAATTGAAACCCTAACCTTGTTTGAGTCTTCTTCAGCCATTTTGTGTGTTTGTGGTGGTTGTGAAGCTAGAAAAGAAAGAAGGAGCTTGGGAGTTCAAGTGGAAGCTAGTAGATCCATAGGTTGTGTCCCATTTCCACCTCGTTTGGGGTAAAAATCTTCAACGTTGACCATTTATCTCTTAGATCTCTAGTTAGGGTTCATTTCTACATTTTCTAAACTTTTATAGAGTCACATTCGAGATTTTGTGGTTCTAAGAGGGTATGACTTCAGATCTGGAACCATTGAGGGTTCTTATGGCATAAAGGTGCCAACTTTATTTCCACAAGCACCCCATGCATCTTGTAGACTCCATTTTAAGGCCATTTTAGCCAAATACCCAATGCATGGACGTCAAATTTGGGACTTTACATGTATTATGGACCCTAGGAGGTTAGATCTATGTTGTGGATGCATTAACACCAACTAAAATCGAGTGTATAGTTTTGGACATAGAGGGACTCGGTGAGTTACTCATGTGACTCGGCGAGACAAGTCGCATTTCCCACAAAATCCCTTCTGATAATGGACCATGTGTTAAGTTGGGAGAACAATCAGTCGATTGGGCATATTAAGGAACTGGAAATCATGGGAATCGGTGATTGTATGAACTAACTCGATGAGTTCAAGGATATGTCCCAAGAATATGAATATGGACTCGGCGAGTCCAACACTAAGAGCATCACCTTGCATGAAGATGAACATGACAAGTTCCTGAGGAACTCGACGAGTCAAGGATTAAACATCCTAACTAGCATGAAAATGGGCTCGGCGAGTCAAAGGATGAACTCATCAAGTCACTTGCAAAGGGTCCGGACTCTGTATCAGGTAACTCGATGAGTTGGTGGACCAACTCAGCGAGTTGACCGAAAGTTGAATTTAACCAAGGTGTTGACTTTGACTATAACTTTGACATAAAATGACCATGAAATGATAAATAAGGAAGATGATTATGTGTAGGATTTGAGTGGAGTTGATCCTGGCAACGAGGACAGTTCAGACATTTCACGACACTGAGGTGAGTTACCTTCCAATAGAAGTGGGTTGAAGGTACCAAGGCCGGGCCACTAGTAAGAGTTATAGTAGAGATAATTTTCTTTGTGATAATTATCTGATATGTTTCTATCTGTTATGATTATGTGCTAGTATGCTATGATGTTATATGTTATAGGAGGGATAGGTTAGACCCCAGGACATATCGAATGGACCGAAGGGGTTGTTAGTACCCAGTTATGTTAGACAGTTTATGACATATGTGCTATGATATTATGTGGTTGTGGTAGGGGTGAAATAGTCCCTGGATACCGGTCCAAAGGACTGAAGGGGAGGCTAACACCCTGATATGCTAGGCAAGATACTAGTCGACAGGACCGAAGGGAGGCCAACACCTTAATATGCTAGGCAAGGTATCGGTCGACAGGACCGAAGGGGTAGTTAGTACCCAATTATGTTATGAATTGTATGTTATGTATGGTATGTGGTATGATGGGGGAACTCACTAAGCATTGTGCTTACATGTTTCTTTTTTGTTTTCAGGTACCTCTTCGTCGAAGGGCAAGGAGCTAGTACAATAACACCGTATCACACACATAGGATTTCCACACTATGATGTTCTTGGGATTGTACTCTGATGATATTTTGTCTTTATGATATAATTTGAGACATGTGATTGTGGTTTTGATGAAAGCTGTGATTTGACTATGTTTTTCTTATAAACGGTTTACTAAATTGTTATATCAAAAATGAAACTTTTTGGTGTTGAAAATTGGGATGTTACATATCACATCTTCACATCCACAACACCCCATCCTCACATATTTCACACCTAAAACATCTCCACATCTCGTATCCTGAGGTATTAGACACTCATCCACCATTATCTAATTTTGATATTGTGAACCATAAAAAAAGTACATGGGTCCTCGCCAAATACACTAAAGAACCATCGGTTCTTTTATGAGACTTTATGGTAAGATAAAATTATATTCTCTCTCTCAATTCTTCCCCTTCAAAAACATATGCCTCATGTAAACCTTATCTTATTACTAATCATGTTAGTTTAAGTTGTTTTTCCTTAAAATACAAGAACTTTA